AGGGAGGAGGTCACATATAGATCCTTGTAATCGGTTCCCTCTTTCCTACCCACTCTCCCTCTACCCTCCCAGTATCACCACTCACACCACTGGTCCTGTAGGGATCATCTGCCCTGGATTCCCTGCGCTTCCAATTCCTATCTGTACCACTGTACATCCTCTGGTCTAGCCAGACTTGCAAGGTAGAATTCGGATCATGATAGTGTGTGTGGGGGGCGGGCGGGCATTTAGGAATTAGAGGAAAGGTGTATATTTCATCACTGCTACATTGCATCCTGACTGGCTCGTCTCCTCCCCGAGACCCCTCTGCAAGGGGATGTCCAGTGGCTTACAAATGGGCTTTGGGTCTCCACTCCGCACTCGCCCCCTCATTCACTATGGTAAGATTTTTTGTTCTGATGACCTGGCTGTATTTCTTCTTCTGCCAGTCCAGGGCATACTGAATATTCTTTGCCCAAATTATCATTCAAAGACATCAATTCTTGTCAGTCTTCCTTATCATTGTCCAGATTTCATGCGCATGCAATAACATAATCAAATAAGAGCTTTTACCATGTGACTGAAAATCCCATAATTTGGGTATTTTAGTCCTCAAAGTAACATCTCTACTTTCTAATGCTTTCAAGTTTGTTTATTTGCAGTAGATTTGCTCAGTGAACCATGTCATTTGATTTCTTCACTGTTACTTCCATAGGTGCTGATTGTCGATGCAAGTCCAAAGCAGTCCTGGAGAAAAACAGTATTTTTAATTCTGTCATGAGGTTGCTTGTGGGTTCAGTTGTGAAGCTTATTTTTTCTTAACCTTTTTATGTTGAAATGCCATCCTCCTGAAGCCTGGAGTCTTTGATCTTTGTCAATATCACTTTAATTTCTCTTTACTTTCAACAAGCAAAGTAGTGTCTGTCACATGCATATTGCAGGTGGTAAATGAGACTACCGCTAATCCCTTTAATATAAAATTAAAATATAGCCATGTGTGTTAAATATCAGTATAGACCCTGAAAACTGTAGATTTATAGTTATGATAAAGTTAACACAGAGCTTACCATTCCTTTTTACTATGTTATATGCTGTTTTGTGTTATTTTATGTGATGATGACTACATTTCTATGAAGTTAATATATTCTGAATGAATTGTAGAAAGGTATTTGTTTCACCCTTAATCTCACTTCTCACTTTTAAATGTACAAAAACATTAACTCAGCAAGGAACAGGCAACATCACACACACACACAGACAAAATGGAAAGAAATAAGGATATCCTACATAAGAAAAAATACGAGGTGTAGAAGGGACCAGTTATCAGGCATCAAAGAACTAAAAATCATATCAGTGGGTGCCCGCTTTACTGACACGATCACTGAAGACAGACATATGCATAAGCAAATGTGGTGAAGAAAGCTGATAGTGATGGCTATAAAAAATATATAGTGTCTGGGGTCTTAAAGGTTTTCAGATAAACAAGTGGCCATCTAGCTGAGAAGCATCAAAGCCCACATGGAAGAAGCACACCAGCCTGTCTGACCACGAAGTGTAGAAGGAACCAGTTATCAGACATCAAAGAACTAAAAATCATATCAGTGGGTGCCCACCTTCCTGATACGATCACTGAAGACAAACATGTGAATAAGCAAATGTGGTGAAGAAAGCTGATGGTGCCCAGTTATCAAAATATATAGTCTGGGGTCTTAAAGGCTTGAAGATAAATAAGCAGCCAAGTAGCTCAGAAGCAACAAAGCCTTCATGGAAGAAGCACACCAGCATGTGTGACCACAAGCTGTCGAAGGGATCAGGTATCAAGCATCAAAGAACAAAAAAATCATATCATTGTAAAGGTGGGTGAGTGCAGAGTGGAGACGCAAAGTCCATCGATAGGCAACTGGACACACACTTACTGAAAGGTTGTGGGGAGGAGATGAGCCAGTCAGGGTGCAGCGTAGCAACGATGAAACATATAACTTTCCTCTAGTTCTTAAATGCTTCCTCCCCCCACTATCATGATCCCAATTCTACCTTACAAGTCTGGCTAGACCAGAGGATGTACATTGGTACAGATAGCAACTGGAAACACAGGGAACCCAGGACAGATGACCCCTTCAGGACCAGTTGTGAGAGTGGCGATGCCTGGAGGGTGGAGTGAAGGTGGGGTAGAAAGGGGGAACCAATTACAAGAATCTACGTATTGCCTCCTCCCTGGGGGATGGACAGCAGAGAAGAAGGGGGGTGGGGGGTGGGAGACGTCGGACAGTGTTACATATGACAAAATAATAATTTATGAATTATGAAGGTTCATGGGGGGAGTGGGGAGGGAGGGGGAAATGAGCAGCCGATATTAAGGGCTCAAGTAGAGGCAAATGTTTAGAGAATGATGAGGGCAACAAATGTACAAATGTGCTTGACACAATGGATGTATGTATGGATTGTGATAAGAATTGTAAGAACCCCCAATAAAATGATTGAAAAAAAAAAAGATTTTACAAGGGTAATTCATATTATTCCTGGCTCTTATATCTTGTTCTTAATTTTTACAAGTCTGTTTACCATTATTACTCCTGGATGCAAGTAGGGATTAACATTAAGTATCTTGGTCATTCCCAATATTTGTGTGGTTTCTATGGCAGTGACACTGTGGGTTAGGTATTAGGGTGCAGATCACATGGTTAGTAGTTCAAACTCAACAGTGGTTTCAAAGGAAAATGAGAGACCTATCTGCTCCCATAAAAATGACAACCTTGGAAATGCCATGTCGGGTTGTTATGAGTTGAGTCACACAATGGCAGTGGATTTTTATGACTATTGACTTCCTAGTATTGACTGCATGCCTTTCTTCCCACATTTGTTGCCTATGAAATCATTTTGCTAACTTGATATTAGTCATAGCAATGGGCTACAAATCAGAACACCCTTTTCTTTCTTTTTTTCGCCCAGAGTGTCAGCTATTAAACATTTACCTGAGCACTGCATGCCAGGACTACCATGATTCACACGTAATTTTATTCCATATTCAAGTACACATTTACAAAGGCAGCTAAGGCTTTTGTAAAACAAAGAGGGGAAATCTGTGTCTTCTGGTGTCCTAGATCCTGCTTTCTTTGTAGGTTTTTTATTGCCTCTCATGAATTGAATACTCTGTATTTTAATTCCATGACCTTAGTACAGCAAGAAAACATGGAACGTTAATTACTAATAATACTCTTATATAGATATATATAACTCTCTAAACTCTCTTTTTATGTCTTTTACCTCTGATTATGAAAAGCTATATGTTTTTATTAGGCTTTACAGTCTTTCTTCCCCACTTAGGCATTGCCAGAGGGATTTGGGGCTATTATCTAACTTCTCTAAGCCACAATATCCCCATTAGTTTAGTGGGTATAATTCTGCTTTAGAAACTACATTTAAATGTAGCATTATGTGTGAAGCTTATATTTAATGAATGCTCAAAACTATTTAAGTGTACTGCTTTGATCACTATTCCTCCTTCAACGACTAACAGATCACTATTGATTTTTGTGAGGCAAGAGCCTATCTCCCTAAGAAATTCATCGGCACGTACTTTTACACCTGATAATGTTAGTAAGACCAAGTTCATCTTTCTTTGTGTTACCCAAGAGCATGTAGACATGCCACATACAGGCTTTGTTTCCTTGGGACGTTTTACCTCTTTTACAGAATAGGAAGCATGGGCAAGCCCAAGAGAAATCCTCAAGTCCATTTGGTAGTGCTGTTGAGGAAATGCATTGATTTCTTTGTCCCAGAACTGGATATATGAAAACTTTTTACAATATTAAAGCAGTCCAGAAATAACAGGTTGCCTCATAAATTAACCAGTGCACACAACTCGATGTGTTCGGGCAAGAATTGGGAAAACATCTGCTAGTCTAATAGGCGACATCATAATTGAGAGATGGTTTAGTTTACCGACGGGAGATTGTTTAGTTCATCTCCATTGGCTGTCTAAATCTATAATCCAATGATCATTGAGTCTAAAAAACTACAAAACAAAAATTTCAAACCATTAAATGTAGTTTTACTATGTACAAATGTGCTTGACACAAAAAAGGTGCCTTCAATATATTTGCTCACCTACATGCCATAATCTTGACTAGGATTCTACCATTTAAAGAAAATGGCTGCTTGGAAATCTCACAAATGTTTATATGTAAATATTATCTAAAAATATAATTAATTAAAGGTATTCTCCATTAGTATTTCCATTTTGCTTTAAACTATGTCTTGCTAAAACCAGAGATTAATATTAAAAGTTTATAACTATTAATACATTGGAATTCTGATATCTTGTTTCAAATAGTTTAATTACTGATATATACTTCACATAACATACAATTTGATCCTTCAGTCATATTAAGAGTTGTGCAATCATCACCACAATCAGTTTCAGCATGTTTTCTTCTTGCACTGATTGTTGTTAGCACCCCATTGCCCCGCACACTCCCCTGCCCTGCCCCCAGGCAACTATCAATCCAGTTACTGTCTCTATAGATAAACCCCCATTAATATACTTTTCTTTTAAAAAATCTTACAAAACACAGGCAGGAAACAAACAAACAGAAAACCAACAACAATGACTAGACATAACCTAGAAAAACCTTAATGAGAAAGAAAAAGGAAAATATAAAAAGCTGAAACAACTTAAGAATGATACATAACTCTGAAATATTTTTATTGGAATATTGTAGTTACTTGGTTTTTTTATTAATCTACTGGACAGTTTGAAAACATAAAACATGTGAAACTGTAACAGGAAACTAAATGAATGGGGTATAATTGTCTCCCACCTTAAATATACTAAGAATTGCTTTCATAAAATATGCTTTGGAGATGGTAAACAGATGGCATATTTACATATTAATTTTATGGATTTATAAGGAGCCCTGGTGCTATAGTTGTTAAGTAATCGGCTGCCAATCCAAGACGAGTGATGTGAACTCACCAAATACAGGGGAAAGATATGACGAGCCCCAAGCAGATTATAGTTTAGGAAACTGTATGACAGATTACAATACTCATGGCTTCCTCAAATTTCAGCATTCCTGGTTCTTGTTGCTGGCAGTGCCACTGGGCCAGAGACTCAAGCATCCACTTGGCCTGTAATTTATGCAAGTAGGAGGCATAGAAAACAACTTTGCTCAAGTTCGAGGATGCCCAGACCTTCAACTTGAGCATGGTCTTGCACACTTGCTTGAAGTATGGGATTCGAGATCCATTTGGGCCAAATATGGTTACCAGCTGCCATTTCAGAGCCTCAAACACCTTGGGATCTCTTAAATCGACTGGAGACTTGTTCCATGGTGGTTTAGCTTTTTTCCGTTCGGAGGGCATTCCCATCTTGAGTTCTTCAACAACAGTTTCCTAAGCTATAAACTGAACTCCTAAACTGTGTAGGAGCTTGTCATATATTTCCTGCAGGGTCACTGTGAGTTGGAATTGACCAAACAGCACTGGGAATTTTTCATCTCACTGGGATACTTCATCTCACATAATCTGGGCTTGCTGTCAAAAGGGATCCGTTCTTCGAGAAAAGCATCATGGTTGGTAAGGCAGGGAGTCAGTGAAAAAGCACGACTCTCATCAAGGTGAATTGACACCGTGGCTGGAACTCTAGCAGCAATTTTCAGGATGGCACAGAACTGGGTAGAGTTCTGTTATGTTGTACAGAAGAATGCTGTCATTCAGAACCAAGTTGCTAATACCTAACAACATAATCTAAGTGTGCAGACTATCCTAAAACATCATTAACACTCCGTAATTATGAAAAGTTTTGTATTTATGTAACCCTTTTAATAACCAAAGAATTTTTAAGAAACTCAAAAACAAAATCCATTTCATATTTCATTTATACAATTTAAACATTCCTTTAATTCTTTTGAGATAAAACTTAAAATATGTATCTATATTTACCTTAAAATAGATTTTATAACTAAAATTGTTAAATTTTACTATCAGCTTTGATCTATCACGCTTTTTTAATAGTAGCTGTAATATAAATGACTACTGCCAATTCTTTGAGTTTAGAATTGGCTTGTCTAAATTTGCCCAAGTTTAACTGATAGGATATTTTGACCCCAGTGCAATCTCTAGAAATATTTTAGTAGGATTTGACTAGTAGGGTCTGAATTTCAAGGTCACTGATTGATGGCACATTCCACAAATGACTCCGAATATACAATTAATATCTGAAATGTGTATTTCAGATAATTGTTAGTATTATCTTACAAGAGTCCTTCAAAGCATTCAACAAATTCCATGAACCTGAGACTATTCTCTCCCTGAAAAGGTCAGGATCCAGGAAAGCAAAGATTTCTCAACAAAATAAACAACTATCACCTATTTCTTTATATTTAATAGACCTGTCCTTACATTAGATTAAAAAGTTAAATTTAGATATCTTGTCTGTTTTTAATTTTATTGTGAGTGTCTACTTAGGAAATTTGGTGGCTCACCAACTTAAGGTGCTCTACAGCACAGACAGTTTGGGGGGAAATATAACACTGACATTCATTGTGAAATCTTAATAAATTAATGATAAACTTATTTTTCTTATTCTATCATTCCACTTTGTTTGCAAGCTTATGCCCCCTCCACCACTTTGCTTACCTGTTAGAAAGGAGTATCACGCCAGAAGATGGCAGCATATAGATCCCTATGGGCTATTTGCCTGATGCGAGGATACAGGAAAGTTCCTAAGCACTCTTTCTATATGGACTATTAGTATGTGTGGAGCTTGCACTTACTTGGATATTTAATATGTGTACGCAAACGTAATGTCATTTTCTAAGAATCAGGGACATGATTATGCACATAATTTCAATACTAAGCAATTATATATGATCAGAGTGAACAAGGATTGGTTAAAGCAAATAGCTGAAATGCTTTTTAAAGATGAAGGGGTAAAGAAGCGGGACCCACATTTCTTCCATGATGAGTATTCTCCACTTGATCACATATGGGGTTTGATCACACACGGGGTTTGATCACATACTCACTGTGAAAGCCAAGCACTCAAGTGCACCAGTTGATGCCAAAGGAGGAGAATTGGATTGGCCTCACCATTCCCATTTTATCGACAACTACACGAAGAAATATTTGGACATGTTTTCATAACAGTAAATTATGTCTTCCAATTACCCTCCAATTTGCACTTGTGTTACTTTTAACAGCTAGATTGTCCTTTCACACAAAGAATAATGTTCTCAACCACTAAAATGTAAATCCAAAGCAGGCAAAACCTTAGTTTTATTAAAGCTGAGACAGAAATGTTAATTACAGAAGATATTGAAATATAAAAGGACTTTGTTTGCTTTCTTCAATCCTTTTTGAACTTCTTGGGGTTTTAAATATAGGGTTTGCTTGGCAGATATTCATGTTTGGAAAATTTTTAAAAACGAAAAAGTACTGCACCAAAATAAAATCTCAAAAAACTCTGTAGCCCACTCTAATCTTCATCAGTTATGGAATAAGTTTATCTCTTTGGTGGGGGAAATTGTTTTAAGATGTCTAAATTCAACTTTAAAATATATAAAATGATTTTAATTGCCTTTTCGTGTTCTTATAAAGCACATCAAAAAGTTAAAAATGCATTCAATAGTATTAAGTTTAAGAAACAAGAATGTATCATGAACAG